TGTGGGCGTGTCCCTCACGCAGGAGCGTGTGCCTCGCGCTGGGGGCGGGGTCACGGGGCGGGGTGATGGGGGGCGTGTCCACTTTGGCCCCGCCCCCGCGCTCGGCTGACCATCACGCCACGGGCGGTGCGGGCTCCGCCCCCCAGGCGCGTTCCGATTGGCTGCCGGGCGGGCAGGGGCGGGGCCCGGGCGCGTGCAGCGCTTATAGCGAGGGGGCGGCGGGCGCGGGGCAGCGATGGCGCGCGTGGTGTTGGTGACCGGTGCGAGCGGGTGAGCGGGGGCCGGCCGGACAGTGCCGGACAGTGCCGGACAGTGCCGGACACGGCTGGGTAGCGGGGCCGGGAGGGGCGGGCTGGCCTGGCCTGGGCTCTCTCTGACACTGTCCCGTTGCAGCGGCGTGGGGCTGGCGCTGTGCCGGCGGCTTCTGGAGGAGGATGGCCGCCTCCAYCTCTGTATCGCCTGCCGCAACGAGCAGACGTGCGAAAACACGCGGGAGCGCATCCTCGCCTACCACCCCAGCGCACAGGTCTCCACCGTGGAAGTGGACCTGGGTAACCTGGCATCCATCCTGCGAGCCGCCCGTGAGCTCCGCTGCCGGTATGGGATCCCCGCACTCCGTCCCAACAGACTCCCTCTGCTCGAGCACCACCCCACCGGCCGCTCCTGTCCCCCTCCGACCCTGACTCCTCTGCTCTTCTCCACGCAGGTTCAATCGCCTGGACTTTGTCTACCTCAACGCTGGGATCATGCCCAACCCACACGTGAACTTCAAGGCCCTCTGGCGTGGTCTCCTCACCGGGTAGGAGATGTTACCGGCGGTTCCAGCTCCCTGCTTGGGGGAGGCACGGGGTGCTGGCATCGTCRAGATGTGCTCTTGGGTCCTGTGCTGAAGAGCCTGTCACCTTTCCTGGTGYGAGATAGAGCACATCCCTTGTGTGGGGTGGAGTGCTGGGGTGGTCCAAGGCACCCGGTGCCGTTTCTGATGCCAGGTGTGAGGGGTAGGGCAAGAGTTCATYCAAAGCCTGCAGCCGTGAGAAATGCTGCTGTGTTGCTAGGGAGATGAAGTTTGCTCCTACTGGGTCTCCTTACTGTCGTTCTGGTGCCACCGTAGGTTTTTGTAGCTGTTCACAGCTGTGGATGGCAGTGTTTTGTGATGCTGATGGTGTTGGTGTAAGTTATTCTGTGAGAGACATGGGGAGCTCACGCRGTGGCTTGTGTTGAGTCTAGCAGCGTTGTTGGGGCGTTGAGAGCTGATGCCAGACTGGTTTCTGTGCCTGCATTAGGTGTGACCTGAGGGCTTAGTTCTGTGCTGGAGCTTGATTAAGTGATCTGAGTGTGAAATGAAGGAGTGAGATGTTCTTCATGGTGCTTAACCGTGGGAAAGTCAGGAAAGGCAGGGACAAATCTTCTCAGCTCTAGTCAGGATTGAGACGCTTGTGAATAAAGAACCTGGGATACTCTAAACCTTTCCCATCTGTTTTCTTSATGGATTGATGTTGCCCTTGAAGGTGAAACAGTGTGGAGTGTGTGAGGTGGGGGTACTCTTGAAGGACTGAAGTGAGGAGTGGTAGATTCCCCCTGGCAGTTTTCTTCACTAACTCCTGTCCTTGATTTCCAGGAAGGTGCTCCACATGCTGACCACTGCAGAAGGCATCATGACCCAGACAGACAGGCTGAATGGAGATGGGCTTCAGGAGGTRTTCGCCACCAACCTCTTCGGGCACTTCATGCTGGTGAGGCTTCCTGTGAAGGCTGAACCCTCAGTGTGGTGTTTGATGTGGGTAGGGATGGGTCCAGGCTGTGCAGGTGAATCAGTTCTCACAGGTTCAGATGCTGCAGCCTGGCAGATAAAGAGTGACCGGGCAAAGGCCTTGAAATTTGTTAAAACAGCAATGAACGGTGACTTCTGTTGCAAGAGTTAATGTAATTTTGAGGTTACTCTAGTGAGCCAGCAGATAGAGGTAAATCATGCGTAGTTCTCCATCAGATATTCAGGCTTGACTGTTTTCAATTCAGAGGTGCATTCTGAGAATGACAGCTGCTTGTACAAGTGTCTGCCTTTGGCTAGTGTAGGAAAAGTTGGCTGAGAAAGCTGAGATAATCTCACAGCCTTTAAAGTACTCTAAAGTTAAACCCTAAGACTGCAATACTTCTGTGTTAAATAGGTTAACAAACATTATTTCAGGTTCGTCAGCTTCAGGCTCTGCTCTGCGGTAACGAGAAGCCCTCACGACTCATCTGGACCTCCTCCAGCAATGCCAGGGAATCTGCCTTCAGCCTCTCTGACTATCAGCATGCCAAGGGGCAGGAATCATACAGTTCCTCTAAATATGCTACTGACCTGACAAGTGTGGTTCTGAACAGGAAATATAATGACCAGGTGATGACGGGGTTTGCTTCTTCATTAGAAACCTAATGAGCTGCTACTGTTTGTAATTATCATTACATTGTTGTTACCTATTTGCGTTCATTCACTCWTAGCAATCTGGTGCGTTCCTTAATGCACAGGTAAGAACTGAGCATGGTTGAGGTTGAGCTGCTGGCATGGGGGGCTGGACAATCTGCCAGAGAGATTGTCAMATTCTGGAGTTCTTGCCAGAAAAACTTCAAAAAGCAGGAAATTTTGGGAGCAGTCCCTACTTTGCCCACTCTTCTCTTTAGACTAAAGAATYGGTGTTAAAGAGCAAAGAGCCTCTTCTTTTTTCAGTTGTCCCAGGGATGCTCTGGCAGTGCTGCCTGCAAGCTCTGGAGGTGCAGGCTCTGCTAGTGGCTCTGTGCTGCTGCTCAGGYTTGTCACACTGAGGTGCCCAAGCAACCTGCCCTCTCTGTCCTGGGGGATTGATGGATTTTGTTGGTCCAGCAGTAGCAGTTGTGCTCAGGTTTGAAGTTCCCAAACACTTCAGGAGAAAATGGTTTAGGCCTAACGGGCTGAACTCATCTCTTAAAGATGAGGCAGCCTTTGGTCTGAGTGGGCTGTAATTTGTAGGGTWTCTGCTGTGGCTGCTGAGCTGTGTGGAGGTTGCACCAGAAGGCTGCGTTTTCCATCCTGGGGGGGTTGTAATGTGCACAGAGTGGATTTAACACAAACATTTCCAATTTGGACCTCTTAAAAATCACTACATCTAAGTGCTCTCTGCTCTGGTACTTTACAGTAGAGTATTACTGTCTATACACACCCTCTCTTAGTGAGGAGTACTGGGAGGGAAGGAGTATGACTTTTTTTTAACTGTGGTGTAATTCTGTTGTGGTTTCTTCTCTGCAGGGTCTGTATTCCAGTGTTGTTTGTCCTGGGCTCGTTATGTCCAACATGACCTACAGAATTTTGCCCATTTTTCTGTGGAAGCTGCTGATGCCACTCATGTGGCTGGTGAGTGGATCTSCTGGCTGGTTTTGGGCTGTGACACACTTCACTGCAAGTGATGGACAGCACACTTCTGGCTCCTTGCTGCCTGTGCTGGTGTAGAGTTCTTCCTTCTGTTGGGCTGGGCAGGCTGACCCCTCTGCAAACCTTCCCTTACTCATTTTGGGGCCCTGATTTCCAAGCTGAATTTGGRGGTTTGGTGCTGGACACTGCATAGGGGCAGGGTTCAACGCTTCAGCCACAGCAGCGTTTGTCAAGGCTCCTCTTGGAAGGTTTGCCAGTTGTGTTTGTGAAACACCATTATTTTGCTGGCAGCAGAGCTCAGGACTTGGCCCCAGTGCTTTGAAGTGTTCATTTCTAGAACAGCCAGTTTTTCAGTGTTCTTTCCATTCCTCTAGAAGGCAGTGTTGCTTTTTCCTTTCCAACCCTATGGAAAGCAAAGCTTCCTGCTCTCCATTGCCTCTTTCCCTGCTTCCCCAAAAGTTTCCTTGCTTTCAGTTTTCCAGGGTCACTGCAGTTCTGCCCCTGAAGGCTGCCTGCTCTGAGCCCTGATGCTCTTCCTGCTCTGAACCTTTCAGCCTAAGCTTGCCCCAGTTRCAGAACTGATCCTGATGGATCACGTTTCTCCTGGCAGCAGAGGCAGTGCCTTCTCAGTTGTCCTCAACTGTAGCATTCCTGCAGATCCCCTCTTCCTCCTGCCATTCCTTGCCCTTGAGACCTTTCAAGAAGAGGCACCTGCAAGGTGTGTGGCCTGTAGGCTCCTGCCTTGGGGTGAACTCTGTGTTGGGAGCATGGAGTGACACTTGCTGGGGGGCTCCAGAAAGCAGTTTGTGTTGTTAAAGGATGCTTTAGTGTTACCTTCTGTCCATTTTGAGAAGCATTTGTGCCTCTGGTGGATTATCTGGGCTGCTCAGGGCTTGCCAGACTAACCTTGAGCCATAAAACAGATTCTTGTCATGTGTTTCTTTTCCCCCCCAGATCCGATTTTTTGCCAAAACTTACACTCTGACACCCTATAATGGAGTAGAAGCTCACGTGAGTAGTTCACAACTTGATTTTAAAATTCCTTCYTTCTGGGGAGCTTGTCTGGGGCCTTCTGGCTTGAGCAAAGAGCCTCTCAGCTAGGCTGGTGGGTGGGTGCTGTATTTGACCCCAAATACCATACAGGAGTGAGTGTGGGGGACCAGCTGTCCCCAGGGTTGATCTGCCACACGGTGTGCTCTGTGACCTTCACCTGGTACCCATAAAATAAACAATTTTGGGAAAGCATCTCAGCCAGGGAGAATGGCCTGCAGCACAGGGGATGGAGGTGGGTGATGGGGGGGCACAGGTGTCTCAAACACACTGGGAGCAAGTTTAGCCCTGCTGAACTGCTTTAGCACAAACCTCTTGGCTCAGGGAGGTCACAACCAAAGGGAGCCAGCTCAGAACTTTATATTCACATCTCCCCCTGCTTGGTGGGGGTTTCTGTGGTGTGTTCCCCCGTGTCTGCTGGCAACCAGGTCCTTGCCCACAGGCGTGGCTGGGACAGGGTGTGCTGCACTTGTGCATCCTTGTGCTGCTCTTGCCAGGTGTGGCTGTTCAAACAGAAGCCGGAGTACCTGGATTGTCTCGTCAAGTACCACAGCTGCACCACTGGACTGGGGAGATGCTACGTGGAGGCTCGGAAGGTGAATGGAGAGGGAGATTCCTTCTGCAGGGGCTTGGCTGGGGGTCTGTCATCTGCCTTGCATGGAAGGGTCGGTGCTGAGGGTGTCCCATGKCTGGGCTGGAAGGAAGGTGCTCATTGAATGCTGAGCAGAGGGARGCAAGTGAGCTTATCTGCCAGAGTAACTCCTGCCTTAGGCTGGAGTCTGGAAGATAAGGAAATGATGATTGCAAAAGGTTAAGAGTGTAGTGATGCTCCCCCAAAATACGTTCTGGCTTGTGCCCTGGTGACAGATACCTTCAGCTGGCTCTTTGTGAGGATAGAAGCTCTGGACCTGCACCCAGCTTATCCCCAGGGCTGCCCTYGGTGTCTGCACAGGCTGCCACCACAGTGATGGTCTCACAGTGCTGTTCTCCTTGTCTTCCAGATGGATGTGGATGAAGATGTTGCTGAGAAATTTTTCCAGAAGCTGTTGGAACTGGAGGAGGAGACTCTAGAGAAATACAGTGATCTCTTAGATTAAGTAAAGACAGTCTCAGTAGGGTGAGAGTGTATCAGTAACATGGGATTTCTTCATTCTGGTGCTACTCGTGTCGCCTGACATTCTGCAGGCACATGGTTTCGGACACAATCTTCCTTCTCGACAGAAGGTGAACAGTTCCTGAAAATGGAAGTGTGAAAACTGAAGAGAGATACTTAGACCTTTTACTRTGGGACTTTTCTTTTGGCATAAAACTGGAGACCTCGAGTGAGCAGAGTCCRTCTTAACACAGTTGCAAGGCAGTGTCTTGCGAAAGCGTGACTGAGCYGTGCACGGCTCAGGAGCAGCCTCAAATCCTGTGGTTTCAATCTGGCTCAGTGCACTAAAGGCAGCAGTTTGGGGTGCTGCCCTTCATCTTAACTCTGCTGGTGTCTGTGGGTGGCTCAAACACATCCCCTGTGGCTGATCCTGACGTACTTGAAGGCTCACCTTCAGCTGAGCTGCTCTTGCTCTTGTTCACCAAAGCTGGAGCTGGCTGCACAGACCTGCTCAACGGGCCTGAGCCACGGGCAGGCAGGGTCTGCACAGCAGCTGAAYCCAAGCTCCTGAAGAGTTGGCCTGACAAACACACGCCTGCCTCAACTGTGAGGACCAATGCCTTGTCCCCTGGGTACGGGCACTTAAGGGTTTTAATTGTGACTGGCTGGGAAGGATGGTGTGAACCTGGACTCGGGGCCAGTCTGCTCTGTTTGGAGCAAGAGTGAGAGGTTACCATGTTGTTTTATCTATTTAACTCTCTTTTTATATAAATCTRTTGTACCAACTGTTCTTCCTGTTGTCTATCTGGGGACCTTCACCAAATACCTACCACCAAGTAACTTCAAGTGCTGTAATCAATAAATGACTTGTCCTTGATGCAGTGGTGTTTTCACTCCCATATCCATCTACTTTTGACTCTGAGGGCTGGAAGGGAGTTTGGTTTGTTGCCTTGTGCACAAAAGAAGTGTAGAGTCTCCTCTCCTGCCAGAGGAGAGCTGTTCCCCACCTTTCTGGATTACTTCCTCAGTTAAGGAAAGACATGAGTGATTTCTTAAGACTTCAGTGTGCTGAGCACCTGTGGGAAGACAGACTATTTCCCAGCCTTAGGCTCTTGGAAAACATCTCTGCCGCTTGCTCACCCTGCTGTGTCACATAATTACTGGTTTGGTGCTCCCTGGTGCCAGAGCCCAGCGCTTCCCTGGGGCTGGCAGGGTCAGGTGAGGTTCCAGGGAGGCTGTKCTGCATGCCCAGGCTGCAGTGCTTGTCTTGCTCTGAGGAGTGATGATGCTTATTGCCCTGGTTGCTTTGAGATGAGCATCTTGAGCTTTGCTGKGCTTTAGGATTCTCCACCTAGCCCAAATCCCGAGGCACTCAGCCATTCCTTATCGTTCTCTGGGCTGAGATAATGAAGCTGCAAGTGTTACTCAAAGCAGGGTCTGACACAATGCTGTGAGCTGAGTGCAGCAATGGGAGGGTCAGGGCTTTCGATGCCAAGCTAATCCCCTGTGTTCMCTTGTCCCAGCTCTGTGCTGGCACTGCACAAGGATTTCAATGCACTGACGTCTGGAGGTTCTAGAAGAGGTAGCTTTGAATAAGCTGGCATGCTTAGGAAAAAGAGAAGTTTTCTGATACATGAGTTTGGTGGGTTTGTTGTTGTTTTTTTGGGGTTTTTTTTTTTAAAGCCTGGAAAAAGGGGGCTGATTTCTAGGATGGGCAGAGGTTGATGACCACAGWGGGTCCTCCAGTGTCCTATAGCACTTGTCACAGGTCCCTGCTTCTCTGTAGGGGTTCCTGTCTTCATTTGTGATCCCAGAAATCATTGTCCATGCCTTTCTGTAGAAAAAAAACTTGGCTATGCTTAGCCTCACCTTCTGCCCTTCTCCTCCATGAGATGGGAAACTGGATGTCTTTGCACCTAAAGGGTGGGACGGCTCTGTGGAATGGGAGCTGTAAGCATCTCCCAGATTCTGTCTTTTGTACTGAAAGCACAGGCAGGACCTGGAGCCTCAAAAGAGGCACTACCCAAAGGTTAGGAGGTTGCACAATTGTTGGCTGCTCCAAATGATGCTGTGCCACCTGCCTTGGCTGCCCAGCACCCTGTAGCTGTGAAAAGAGCCCCCCAGTGCTGTGGAGCTGCCACTCTGCAGGGAGGRATGGCCCTCGTGCCCTGCTCCTGGCTAGCAGACACCTGTGCACGGAGATTAATCACCCAGATAATCCTGTTCAGATGGACCCCGAGTCCTCTGTGCAATGAGAACAGGTCCTGCCCCAAGCCCCGTGGTGCAGGGTGGTGAGAAATTCCAGTTGGGACAGGGGAAGAGYTGGCAGTGGCAGCCATGAATCACTGCTAATGCAGGAGCTTGTTCTTGGTGATCCTCAGATACGGAGCTTTCCAGAGAAACCTCCGGGGCAGCTCTGGAGGATGAAGACTTGCTGTGGTTGCTGTGTGATCCCCTGCACCATCAGCTGATGCCAGATCTKATGTCTCATGGCCTTGCCTCATCCCAAGCCTCTGGCTTTTCTCCTTTGTGGGCAAACACTGTGCCTTTCTCCAGACACAGCCTGAGCTCCCATTGCTTCTCAGCTCTGCTGGCTTTCAGCTATGTAGGCCACGGAAAACAGGAGGGTGGGTGGGAGCTGAGCCCTGGCCAAGGGAGGAGAACCTTGAGGAAGGTGTGTCAGAGCTCAAACCCTTCAGCTGAGTGAGCTTTGCCTCTCTGGGAAGGGAACGGAATGGAAGAGAGCCACAAGGACTGGCATGTCCCTGWAAACAGGTGGGTGTCACACAGCCAGTTTGGAAAGATCCAGGCTTAGTGGATGGCAGCTTTGGTGTTGCAAGGCTTGGAGGGGAGCTGCCAGAGTAGGGTGAGACATAGCTTGGTGAGAAATGGGGAGCAGAAACCCCWCTGAGAGGGTTACAGCAGCGTGACCTGGCTGGCTGGCAGGGAAGAGACATGAGGGAGCTGGGTCTGGCTGGGTTTTGCTGAGAGTGGGCAAACTGTAGAGGCCTGAGAAATTTTTGGCTGTGAGGAAAAGCTTGCACCTCCAGCCAGCCCTGCTCCAAGCAGGTGGCCTGCTGGCTGACCCAGGAGGTCCAGGGGTATGTCCCGCTGAGATTTGAATGTCCAGGGATGGACACCCCACAGCCCCTCCCAGGTCCTGTCCCAGGGCTGGTGCCACACGACCCCACTCTGCAGCTTCCCAGGGGAGAGCAAAGCTGAAGGGTGCAGTGCTGGAGGCTGGGGGCAGGTGTGTGCCACACGGCCAGGGAAATGGGAATGCCCAAAGAGAGCCAAAACTGTTCCCAGAGTCAGGGACGATTGTCAGTGTTGCTTTGAAAACCAGGGAGCTGTGCCCAGAGGAGAAATCTCGAAGGGAACCGGTGAATTAAAGAACAACTTGTGAGAAGAATCCGTTTGAGTGGTAAATTCTTTGTTAAGCTCATCAGTTGATGCTCCTGTGTACGAGCAGAGCTTGGAGAGGCTATGAAGCTGTAATTAACATTTTTGGCCCTCAGTGAGAGGGGTCTGGAAAGGCTGTCCTGCCAGAAGCCCTCTGCAGATGCAAGGGTTTGCATCCACCCGAAGTGCTAGCACGGCCAGCAGATGAAGTTCACCTTGAGGCAGAGCAGCTGAGCTGCTCACTGTGCATTCTTTCCTTCCTTAAAGCTGCCTCAAACACTGCAAACAGGAGTCTGGCTGGGTACCCAGCCTGGGCTCAGGCTGTGCTGCTGAACCCTCTTTGGAACCCTCTGTAGGACCCTCTTTGGGGGAAGGAGAAGATACTAAAGACAAAAATGACCTCAGGGTGCACCACAGAGGCACAGCTCCAGACTTGGCCTTCTCTGTGTTTCTGTCTGTCTCAGCAGAAGCTTTGGTCAGCTCAGCTGGGCTCAGTGGGAGTTGTGTCCCTTGGAATCTCCGTGARTCACTCTGGGCAGCCCATGGCGGGTGCAGCAATGTTTCACACCATTGTCATCTGAGCAGATGGTGGCTCATTGTTGGTGAGCCAGCAAAAGCCAGACTGGCTGAGATGGTTTGGATAAGTCACTTCCAAGCAGCACTGTGTGAAGGCTGTAGGGATGCTCTGTGTCTGGCTGGTCCTGTGGAGCTCTGGGATGTGTGTGCATGGCCTCCAGGCAGTAGAGATCCATTAATGGCCATAAAGTGCACTAACACTGCTCAGGAGTGGAGCAGACCCTCACACTGCCTGCCCACACTCTGTCACAGGTCAGGACTCAGAAGGGCTGCATCGCATCCCTGCCTTGAATTCCTTGGACACCTTCCAGCAGGTCATGGCTTCCTTGGCTTTGGGCAGCCCTTGGGTTGACTCAGGCTCTTCCTGCTGTGCCCAGCTCCTGACAGACATTCTTGTCTGGAGGGGGATGTGCTGTCCCTTGGGTCTGGGCTGCAGGGATGGGAGCGGGCAGAATGTTGTGGGAGGCACGACTCAGGTCCATGTGACAGCACAAGTGTTGGCCAACAGAAGGGTTGGAGCCAGCTGTGAGCATGGCTGCTCCTCTGRGATCACTGCCAGGCAGTGGCAGAGGTCGAGGTCACTGAAGTTAGGGACAGGAGCCCCTAGCAGGCACATGTCTGGGAGCACCAAGAGAGAACCAAGAACACACATTCCAGAGAAGCTGGAATGGCAGGAGCAGTCGGCATTGGCCATGGCTCTGTGCACAGGCAGTGGGTCACCTCTGCAGGTGTTTTGTGACAGGCTCACAGCAGTGTTGGTGACAGAGGTCCCTCCTGGGGCAGGACCAGCRCCAGCATTAATAATCCACCCATTGGCTCCCTGCAGGGCCACACAGTGCTGGCCATGTCCTTGGGTTCTCCTGCTCTCCTCTCATGCCCTGAGCCATGAGGCTTTTGGATCCAAGGGTCTTACATGCTGCCTTGTGCAGCTGAGGTGAGAGGTCCATCCTCTTACCCGCACATCTGCTGTAGGGTGAGCTGTCTCCAAGAGGGACAGTGTGGGGGTAGAGTGATCTGGGGGTGCTCAGTCATGGCGATATCTGGGATGGAGCTCCCCACTCWTCATGGACTGGGAGAGCTGGCAGGTGCCCTGTCCCATAGAAGGGCTTTGGGGGATGCTTCTGCCACTTGCAGGGGGACCAGAAGTCCTGCTGAGACTGAACCTTTGCCTTTCTGCAATCCAGGCACGGGGCCAGTGAATCACCCAGCAGCAGGACAGCCCAGCAGGCAGCTCTCAATGGGTGCAGCCACCTCAGCCTTGTGGGCACCAGTGGCCTCCTCCCATCCACGTGGTGATGGCCCTTGGCATTTCCATCATCACCAAAGCCCTTCCGGTGCTCCTGGCATGCCAGGCACAGTGTTTAATGAGGAGGGACAACGAGGGTGGCACATTCCTGCAGGAAATATTGATCCTTCATGCAAACCATTGTTCTCTGACTCAGTGGAGACAGAGAGCTGCATCCAGCCTTTGCTCTCCTCGCTTTTTCCAAACTCAAGGACAACATTGTTGGGGTGGAGAGCAGTAGAGTTGGCAAGGATATAGTGGAGAAGGGTGAGCATGTAGTCAAGGTGATGGGGGTAGAAGCTGGTGGTACGGAGCTGTCCTTCCAAACACCTCTTGGGCCCCTAAAAGCACCCAGGATTTTCAGTGAGGTGGGCACTGACCCTGGTGGAGTGATCTGCTGTTGGTGTCCCCAGACAGGCAGAGAGGATGTTGGAACGGTTTCACTGAATCATAGAATATCCTGAGCTGGAAGGGACCCTCAAGGATCATCAAAGTACAGCTCCTGGCTCTGCACAGGACACMGTAAAGATCACCATGTGCCTGAGAGCATTGCCCAAATGCTTCTGAAACTCTGKCAGGCTCAGGCCTGTGACCACYTCCCTGGGGAGCCTGAT